ATATGTGTGTGTGTATACACATCTTTAAATTTATTTAATTTAATTTGTTTTTGATTTGAGCACCAAATCAGCATAGTGTAATGATTTCTGAAGAATCAATGTCACATTTAAGACTGGAGTAATGCCATCATGGGAATAAAATTACTTTTTAAAATGTATTAAAATAGAATGTTCCTTTCAATTGTAATAATATTTCACAACTTTTCTTATTTTTTTTTTTACAGTATTTTTGATCAAATAAAAGACACTTTCAAAAACATTTTTTTTTTAAATTTAAAAATCTTACTGACTCCAAACTTATGAACTCTAGTGTATTTGTTAGACTGTCACTGTACTCTCCATGCAAGACTCCTCATCCCTGTATATACTGCATGCAATAATATATCTACACATGACAATTTTGAAAAAAAAAAAAAAATTACACGCGTTTGCTTGTTGCATGATGCTAAGGTGATCTGGGTTGTTGCCAGGAAGTTTCTATACAGTTGCTAAGGTGTTTGTTGCATTGTGGTTGTGGTTGCTTCTAGCCCAGGTCAAAAGGGTCATCCTATTCTGGTCACCTCTTTCAGCGTATGTAAATGTCAACTCTGGCTGCTCTCAAAAGTTATAACACGCTTCTCCTCAACCAGTCACTCAATTTCAGGAATCAATAATATCAATAACGTTAATGCTGCAAAACTAGTTGCTCAATGCTATGCATGAGCAAGATATAAGGCCCGTTCACACCAAGGACTATAAGTATACATTTTTAATAATCAGTCTAATCCAAAGAGAATAGTGGAGTCCACACCACAACCAAAATGATAACGTGACCGAGGATCAACATTGTTGGAATCACTTTCATAACAATTTTTGGCTGGTTTTCTAGCTGATGAATGATAAAACATTGATAAAATGTAAATAAAACGATACTTGCATTTCTATACTAAAAAAACAACTTGAGCATTTAAGCACACAATTATTATAAACAGACTGTGTGTTGGTGCAGACGCTAATATAGTTATCGTTATAGTTATAATTCTCAGTGTGAATACTATTCATAATGCCCAGGAAATCTCACTAAATAAAGCTCACATCCACAGCACCTCACTCTGATATAAGAGAGATAGACATAGTCATGCAGTCTTGATAATGCAAAGACTCTTTCACGTGTCACACATAAATCACGTTGATGTGTATACACAAGCAAAATGTTGCCAAGTTAGACTTCTGGCAGGTTGTTGCTTTGTCCTACTAGGGCAATAATACAAAGTCCTGGTGTCTTATACAGCACGAAAAGGCTAAGCACAGAGCATTTATTTTAGGATCCAAAAGATTAATAACTACACCTTTAATATAAGCATTTACCTGGTGTACAATTTTCCCAAAGGCTTCCTGAAGTTTACCATGAATAGTGGCTAATTTCTTGGCATCCCTGTTGGCCTCGTGAATAGGGATGAGCACCTTGTAGACTTCGTTCACTGCTTCGTACATACCAGCCTGGAGACAAATAACGATAAGAATGGCTCATGAGGCGGTATAAAACAATATGATGTAATACAGTTAAATGACTGCATGTGAGTTTACTGAAATGTAATATTTTTATTTTGCACAATACTGTATATACTCAAGGAGTATTTAAATGAATAAAGAATGAAAATCAAAAAAAAAAAATATATATACAGTGGGTACGGAAAGTATTCAGACCCCCTTAAAATTTTCACTCTTAACAATATTGCAGCCATTTGCTAAAATCATTCAAGTTAAGTTTTTTTCCTCATTAATGTACACACAGCACCCCATATTGACAGAAAAACACAGAATTGTTGACATTTTTGCAGATTTATTAAAAAAGAAAAACTGAAATATCACATGGTCCTAAGTATTCAGACCCTTTGCTGTGACACTCAAATATTTAACTCAGGTGCTGTCCATTTCTTCCGATCATCCTTGAGATGGTTCTACACCCTCATTTGAGTCCAGCTGTGTTTGATTATACTGACTGGACTTGATTAGGAAAGCCACACACCTATCTATATAAGACCTTACAGCTATACTTGCTGTACCCACTGTATATATATATATATATATATATATATATATATATATTATATTATATTATATACTACCAAAAGGCAAATAAGCTACTAAACGCTGCTATAACAAGCTAAATATTATTATACATAGCAATCAAATAAATTGAATGAATAGTTCACCCAAAAATGAAAATTTGCTAAAAATGTACTCACCCTCCAAGATGTAGAGGAGTTTGTTTTTTAATTGGAGCAAATTTGGAGAAATTTAGAATCACTTGCTAACCAATGGATCCTCTAGAGTGGATGGGTGCCATCAGAATGAGAATCCAAACAGCTGCTAAAAACATCACAATAATTCCCAAGTGATCGACGCGACTCCAGTCCAGCAATTAATGTCTAAACTGTTGCTTCTGGCCAAAATATGAGTCCACAATCCATAATAACGCTTCCTCCAGTGAAAAAGTCTATCCTCCGTGGTCCTCTCACATCAAAATCCACCAACATATTTGTTTGTTTAGAACTGTTCTGGACTATTTTTACTTGTAAATGCAGTTTGATCTGTGCACATTTCTCGCGACAACTTTTTTTTCAGTGGAGAAAGCAATATTATGGATAGAGGACTTGTATTTTTGAAGCAACTGTTTAAAGTGTAAAAGGTCTTAACAACGAATTTGTTTAATACAAACTGATTTTAACTTCACAAGATGAATTGATGGACTGACGATTAGTCGTGTCAATTACTCATGGATTATTGTGACTTTTTTATCAGCTGTTTGAACTCTCATTCTGACGGCACCCATTCACTGTCGAGGATCTATTGGTGAGGAAGTGATGCTAAATTTCTTCAAATCTGTTGTGACGAAGAAACAAACTCATCCACATCTTAGACAGCCTGAAGTTGAGTATTTTTGGGCGAACTATGCTTTAAAACAAACAGAATGCAGCCAAGTCATAGTAATAAAGTAGAGATCTTTTAAACCACATAGTAAATAACGCACCATAGAAAAGGAGGCTGCAGCCTGTTCCAGCAACCCAACTAAGCCTGCCTCAGTGAAGTACTTCCCAGAGCAGATGCCCTCCTCGTCTGGTGACACCACGTCATCTGACACAGCAGATTCTTCCAGCACATTAGAGGAAATGTTCTGTAGTAAGAAAGATCTCATGAATATATTATAATTAAAAAGTAAATGACCGACACATGATCTGTGTCACAGGGTGCGGCAGGAACCTGAAAGGTGACACAGCCCACAGGCAGGTACTTGCGGTCCTCGAAGAAAAGCATTTATTTGAAATAGAAATATTTTGTAACATTATAAATATCTTTAATGTTACTTGTTGTGAACAATAAAAAAAATGTTGTGTCCTTCAATAAAGTATTAATTTCTTAAAAAAAAAAAAAATACTGATGCTAAACTTTGGAATTGTAGTGTATAAAAAAAACTGTCACTACAAAAACAGTTGGTAGTTATTAATAAATAATATATTTTAGCATAAATAGAGTATATGTCAAATTTATGACATTTATAATGGTCATTAATTTTACATGCTAGGTTAATTTCATGTGAGTTAATAGTGTATTGAATAATATAACAATGTGATGTGATCCATTCTGCAATGTAAAAACAGTACCTGTACATCAGATCAATTAGCATCTCTGGATCTTCTTGATGTTCCTTCATTTTTACTGTGTCCGAAAGAATCATGTGCAGGTTAAACACCAGATCTTGAACCTGAAACCAGAGACAAAATCAGTGTTTTGTGTCAGGAATTAGAAAATAGATGGTGGAAACAGATTTATGAACATCACCTGGTCAGGAAAGGTGGTTTCTCTGAGCTCTAGGTCCTCTTCTGCATATGTGAGGATGGTCTTGAGTGAACGCCGCAGAAACTCCTCATTGAAGTTCTGGGACGTACCCACCAGAGACGAAAGAGACATGGTCACCTGCATTTTCACTCGTGCAAAGTTCTGCAGGAAAGAAAACAAACAAACCTTTAATAAAGCTCTTCACATATAAACAGAGACTAAATACCGTTTAAAAAATTCAAGTAATAAACATATGGTATCAATACAATATAGTTTATACATATCTAATAATTAATTTAATATACATAACTACATATAATCTATTTATAAATAATAAATGTATATGTACTCATACATAATATTTAATAAATATACACTACTGTTCAAAAATGTGGGTTCAGAAGTTTGTGTCTGGAAGAGAATTATTACTTTTTCCCAGCAGGGATGCATTAAATCTATTAAAAGTGACAGTATAAACATTTATAATACTACAAAATAGTAATACTACTGCTCTTTTGAACTTTGTTATTGCTTCTTTTTTTTTTATGAAAGAATCTTGCATAAATGGTTTTCAAAAAATATCAAGCAACACGCTGTAAATGATTCATTAATTAAATTGATTAATTATTAATGAAACTGATCGCCATTCTTGATCATCTGAAGGATCATGTCTTTAGGACACTAAAGACTGGAGTAATGGCTGCTGAAATTCTGCTTTCCCATCACAAGAATAAATTATATTTTAAAATATATTATAATACAAATCAGTTAAATTCTATTCATTCTATTAATATCACAACATGCATTGCATGTTTTTAGTGTACACCTTTGAATGGTGTTGTATTAAGTAATATAATAATACAAAATGAAATGAAAAATGCCATATTTGCTTATACGTACATGTGGTACAGAACTGAGGGGCACAAACAATCTACTGTTATTTATGCTGATTATGACAGAGTGTGTTTAAATGTTTCTCACATTTCCGATCTCAAAGTTCTGTCTCATGAGGAGGTAGAGGGAGGCGCTGGCATGGGCTCTGATGGTGCCGATGCTACTGCTACAATTCCTCAGGAGCCGCAGGCACAGGTCAGCACACTGCTCTGTCTCCTCCTCAAACAGCAGCTCTGGAAACTAAATGCACATTCAGACTTAGACACCGTCACAAGAGATCATACACCATTTCATGTAAAGAGAGCAATCACCAAGCAAAATTGCATTGATCTGCTGGAGCTAAATTGGTCAATACAAACTCAACAGCAAATTCTGCTCTTTGACCTGATCAGCGTTCACTCACCTTTGACACGAGAGCTCTCTGTGTAGCGAAGCAGTGTTGCAAATACAGGGCACTTTGATTACATGCCATGCTGTGTAGCAGGACTTTCAGAACCCCTCCCAGAATGCTTTCTTTGGACTCAGTCACTGACACGGTCTACATGGCACATAGAGGAACCATCATAGTTATAATAAATGTCTTCTGTGTTAAAATATTGAGAGTTATTGATAGCGGTTGCTATCATTACCTGAACTATTATTTCTAGTGTATCCAATATGATGAGATTAGCTTCAGTTGCCAGGTTGCCATCAATAATTGCTTCATGCTCCAGCTCAGCCCTGGTCCTGACAAACAATGAGGTAATGAATGTTTAGAGTGGTGCAATATGGCAGGTACAACAGCAAGCGGATCCTTGAATGCCACAGCAATCTCCACACAAGCATTCAAGTGAGTGAATACAGAAGAAGGGTGTCCTCTGCATACAGACCAAATATTTTGATCCATTTTTGCACAGTTTAGTAAGTTGTTGTCCTAGCCTTTGTTGTAAAATCTGTATAATGTTAACCTAAACTTTGACTTACATAGACCTAATCTTTATGCTTTGAAAATAAATAAACAATAAATAAGCTCTAATCTATATAATTACAGACTTTGATTTTACTTATATGGACTTAATGTTTACACTGTTATTATTACTATTATTATTATTGTTAATAATAATAAATGCACTAAACATTTACAAATAAACAAACAAGTACTAATCTGTAAAGCAGGGATGCACCGAAATGAAAATTCTTGGTCGAAGCCGAAACCGAACAAAATTAAACACTGGGCAAAAGGCCGAATACCGAACACGGTTTTTCGAGTTTTTTCCCCCCATGTATTTTGCCAATGTTTTTTTCACCATTGCATAAATTAAAAAGCCAAAATGTGCTTTTGACTGTTTTGTCTTGCTTTTCAAAGAAAAAAAATTAATTACAAAACAACAATTTAAAAATATTTAACACTGAACATTTTTAACATTCTAGCAGACACTATACCAAAAAAGCACAATTTAACTTAAAATTAATAAGTAAAATAATAATTTTTGGCCATCAGATCCCCTTCTTGAATCAGGCATGTATTTTTATTTTTTTTACTGTACAATTAGAGAGAAGAGAATTATTTTAAAACATTAGAAAATATTACAGATCCTAATTTGAACACTGTGTGTGAATGTTATAATAAATGTATTAAAACAGAGCTGTTGTAATGAGTGTAGCAGGACTTTCAGAACCCCTCCCAGAATGCTTTCTTTGGACTCAGTCACTGACACGGTCTACATGGCACATAGAGGAACCATCATAGTTATAATAAATGTCTTCTGTGTTAAAATATTGAGAGTTATTGATAGCGGTTGCTATCATTACCTGAACTATTATTTCTAGTGTATCCAATATGATGAGATTAGCTTCAGTTGCCAGGTTGCCATCAATAATTGCTTCATGCTCCAGCTCAGCCCTGGTCCTGACAAACAATGAGGTAATGAATGTTTAGAGTGGTGCAATATGGCAGGTACAACAGCAAGCGGATCCTTGAATGCCACAGCAATCTCCACACAAGCATTCAAGTGAGTGAATACAGAAGAAGGGTGTCCTCTGCATACAGACCAAATATTTTGATCCATTTTTGCACAGTTTAGTAAGTTGTTGTCCTAGCCTTTGTTGTAAAATCTGTATAATGTTAACCTAAACTTTGACTTACATAGACCTAATCTTTATGCTTTGAAAATAAATAAACAATAAATAAGCTCTAATCTATATAATTACAGACTTTGATTTTACTTATATGGACTTAATGTTTACACTGTTATTATTACTATTATTATTATTGTTAATAATAATAAATGCACTAAACATTTACAAATAAACAAACAAGTACTAATCTGTAAAGCAGGGATGCACCGAAATGAAAATTCTTGGTCGAAGCCGAAACCGAACAAAATTAAACACTGGGCAAAAGGCCGAATACCGAACACGGTTTTTCGAGTTTTTTCCCCCCATGTATTTTGCCAATGTTTTTTTCACCATTGCATAAATTAAAAAGCCAAAATGTGCTTTTGACTGTTTTGTCTTGCTTTTCAAAGAAAAAAAATAAATTACAAAACTACAATTTAAAAATATTTAACACTGAACATTTTTAACATTCTAGCAGACACTATACCAAAAAAGCACAATTTAACTTAAAATTAATAAGTAAAATAATAATTTTTGGCCATCAGATCCCCTTCTTGAATCAGGCATGTATTTTTATTTTTTTTACTGTACAATTAGAGAGAAGAGAATTATTTTAAAACATTAGAAAATATTACAGATCCTAATTTGAACACTGTGTGTGAATGTTATAATAAATGTATTAAAACAGAGCTGTTGTAATGATTTATTATCATTATTATTGTCTTAAGCCCCATTCACACCAAGAACGATAACTATAAAGATAACGATATTAGCGTCCACACCAGCGAACGATATTGTCTGTTTATTCTAAGCGCACGCGCGTTACAGCAGGATGGATTCTGATTGGCTGTCAGTGTTTTATCATTCAAAAATCGTTTTGAAAGTGATCACAACGATATCGTTCCTCTGTATCATTATCGTTGTGGTGTGAACTATGCTATTCTTTAATATTGAGAAAGATTTTTAGAACTATATCGTTATCGTTATCTTTCTAGTTATCGTGCTTGGTGTGAACGGGCCTTTACTTTCCATTTTATTTTACAGAACAACAGTAAAATTACAATACTAACATGTATGAATGCTTCTTTTTGTTGACAACAGATTTATAAATGAGTCTCATTACGAATACGTCGTACGTATCGCATTGTCACATGCCTTGTAAAAATTCATAAAAATGTGACTGAGCAACTGACGACTGTATCAGTGCAGATTTTCCTCTTGCTTTGGACTTTGAACCCTGGTTAACAAGCAGATCTGCTCAGTGTTGCCAATTTAGCTACTTTGTAGCTAGATTTAGCGACGTCCCCGTCCCTTTTGAGACTTTTTTCAAAAGTTTAGGGACAAATATAGCAACTTCTTGGACAAACCTTATCTAAGTTCTCATCTTGCCCACTGATCTACGTTCATCTTTATATAGATCAGTGAATTTGCCATTGTGATGTCATCTAGTGACATTTAGCTACCAGTTTTAGCTACTTTCAATTGAAAGCAGTTGGCAACACTGGATCTGCTGCGAGTTCGTGCAGCGCTGTCAGAATACATGTAATTCGTGCGTGTATTAGAAAACATAACGTTCTGCAGTTTATTTACTATTTGTTTAAGGCCATTTCGCGATTTCAATCATCATACAGTAACCAGCAACAGCCACCCCTTCCTCTTCTCATTGAAGACATGCGATGCAGTACTAAACAGTCTCTTGCTGTCGGTGCTTGTAATGATTTTTGCGTCTTTCTCCGACAGTTTAAATGCTTCCACACTGTTGATGTGTGTGCTGCATAATAAAGAGTGCGTGCCTCTCACTCTGCGCTGGTTGCTATTTGATTTGCGTCATATCATTGTTCGGTACAATTTATTCGGTCTTTTCGCTTATTCGGCCAAACACCAAAAGAGCTTTTTTTGCCATTTTCGGCTGAATAATTTCGGTTGCCGAACATCCGGTGCATCCCTACAGACCAGATTTTTTTTTTACCTATGGACTTAAACTTTATATTTTATTGTAATAATAATAATAATAATAATAATAAATATTTAAATATTAAAACCAAATATTTAATTAAAAAAATATAAATAAATATTATAAAAACATGTTTTTTTTTTATCTAAATACATTTTAGTTTTAATCTGTAAAATAAATACTTGAACTTTCACTTACATGAATAATAATTAAATGTTTAATGCACTGAATATCTAAACATTTTTTAAAAATTCAGTTCTATAACCTAATCGTGATAGGTTTGAGTTAGGCTTAATAAGTTTAAAGAGGTTTAACAATTCACATGAACTGTAGATGACGTGCAAGCATATCCTATTGAGCTTACAAACCTAACTAAGAAGGGCTCCTGGCTTCTTTCATTGTGCAGTGGAATTCCCTTAAACCTGTATGGTACATGATTCATTCAAAAAAGGCCACACACAAACAACTGTATCATAACCCTTTATACGGAAGGAAAGAGCCATGGCCCTGTCACAGACTTGGCTGATCATTGTTAGGAGCAGAGAGGGTGGTCTGTTGTTAAAAGGTTTTTTGAAAATGTAGCATAATACTGTATTGTTAAACTGCAACTCTGCACCTGGAGGTTCACTGTGTACATTGTGCAATCCGTGATTAGGCTTTACTCATCAAGATGCTATATTTTTAAACTTACGCATTTAGTATTTACTTTAAATGCAATTTAATACTGAAAATAATTTAGCACACAGGGGCTCCGGGAGCTAAAGTAGCATTTTAAAAGGGCCCATGTTAATTTGAATTCCCTATGGGTGGGCCACTGAATAGGATTTGCTCGAAAAAGAGTTGAATGTTGAACTGAATATCTAAACATTTTTTAAAAATTCAGTTCTATAACCTAATCGTGATAGGTTTGAGTTAGGCTTAATAAGTTTAAAGAGGTTTAACAATTCACATGAACTGTAGATGACGTGCAAGCATATCCTATTGAGCTTACAAACCTAACTAAGAAGGGCTCCTGGCTTCTTTCATTGTGCAGTGGAATTCCCTTAAACCTGTATGGTACATGATTCATTCAAAAAAGGCCACACACAAACAACTGTATCATAACCCTTTATACGGAAGGAAAGAGCCATGGCCCTGTCACAGACTTGGCTGATCATTGTTAGGAGCAGAGAGGGTGGTCTGTTGTTAAAAGGTTTTTTGAAAATGTAGCATAATACTGTATTGTTAAACTGCAACTCTGCACCTGGAGGTTCACTGTGTACATTGTGCAATCCGTGATTAGGCTTTACTCATCAAGATGCTATATTTTTTAACTTACGCATTTAGTATTTACTTTAAATGCAATTTAATACTGAAAATAATTTAGCACACAGGGGCTCCGGGAGCTAAAGTAGCATTTTAAAAGGGCCCATGTTAATATGAATTCCCTATGGGTGGGCCACTGAATAGGATTTGCTCGAAAAAGAGTTGAATGTACGGAAGCACCCACACAGCCAGACACTTGTCCTTTTGAAAAAGGGAGTCAAGTGATTACAGAAGGTTATTCAATGGCATTAAACAATAAACACTGGCAAAATGTTTCAATATAACTGAATGAATTAAGACCAGTGATTCTCAACTGAGGGGCCACAACTAAACAGCAGCAAAGGGGCTACAGAAAAACAGCAGCAAATGCTTTAATCACTACATATTAAGTTGGATTAACTAAAGGATGAGATTTTTACTCCAATAATAAATACGAATACTACATTCAAAATGACAAACAAAAGCTTTCACTATAGCACATAACTTAGGAAATTCTTTGCAACAACAAAAAAAATGACACCAGAAATAAATCTCATCAAAACAAAATACCCATAAGCATGTTCACTGTGTTGTGTTACACACTTCTAACAAAACTGCAAAATGTTTGTGTTTAAACTAAATGGTTTCATACAGGCATTTGTTTTTCATACAAGCTAATTAAAACACAAGCAACAAAAATGTTCTGTTAGTAAGTAATTGTTTAAAACATTTATTTATTAGATGATTTTATATTTTTATTAGATTATTTTTGTTGTATTAGGATTAGGATCATGGAGGAATAAAGGTGAGAACCACTGAACTCATGAAGGACAACTGCCACCAAATTAAATCATTATTAGATACAGAATGTTCTTGGAAAAGAAGTTAAAGAGAGCAATATGACAACTATACAATATACTTATCGTAGCTCATTAACTTGACAGTGAATATTAGGGTAACTACATTAAATTTTGAAATCATTCACTGCTAAATCTTGGACCTGAGAGGCTGGTTAAAGAGCCATGTTGCACTCTTGTTATAAACAAACTGGTTATAACAGAATCACATCATCCAAGCTGCATCCTACTCCATCTCCCCAAATAAACACACACATTGGTCTGAATCAGATTCTGGTCAGTGGTCAGTATAACTGCATCCAGACCAATCCAAGCACCAGTAGAGGAGAGCAGAACCAAAGCACGAGGGAGAGGGGCTTTAAATTCAGGTCTGAAGCAAAGCAGGGGTCATTGAAAGCAAAACACACTTCAGATGTACAATACCTGACTGATCTCTGGCCCCTAAACACACAGTACATGAAAGAACAAGGTCAAATAAAGGGGTTATTTGAGGTCAAATGGTTAATGGTTGTCTTTTCAAAGAAGACACATAGCAGATTAATGCTGAAGTGAAAGCATTTCAAAAAACGAAAGTATAAAAAAAAGATATATAGAAGTTTAAGTTTGCAGTAAAGATAATGCAGTATACTCATTTTTTTTAATTGTATATAAAATAAATACTTTATAAAAAATGTTGCTCTTCAAATAAGCTAATAATTGCTATAAAATTTAAGCCATATGTCTAACCAAGTCATGTTCCAAATTTGAAGTTGATATCACCAAAATTGTGGTTCCTGTGAGATGACACCCAAACCCTATTGAATTCTTTTGATGCAGTTTTCTGTCACAAATCAATAATTTTCTGTCACAATATCACTTCTATTACAAAACAGTCACCAAATATGGAACCTTGACTGTCAGACCTTTCCAACGATATGCATTTTGTCAAGATTACAAAAAGATTTGATTTTCTAAAACACAAGCCGTATACCCTGAGATACAAACATTTAGAGACAGATTACAAAAAATGTAAGCATTTAATTCATAAAATTTCAATGTAAACCTAATAAGCTAATGCTGAACAACAGCTTTCTAAACAGGTAAGTCCCCTCCAACATGTGTAAATGTGTGAACTAGATCAACTTTTATAGGAGGGTGAGTAGATTTCCCACTACAGGCGGCCATGCAGGTTTAAATGATGCCCGTGAGCTAAACAAAGAATGTATGAACAAAGTCAATATATCTAATTATTCACAACAAACACCCTTTCAACATGAAACCAATAAATGAGACCTACACTTTCCCTGCCTCTCCCCACAGGCTCTCAAATGTTTGTATCCCACAGGATACGTTGCCATTTTTAGGGTTAATTTAACCATTCAGAGCACACAGATAATACAAAAAATAAAAAATCTTTAAGGCAGAATAATTACTAAATTAAAAGAAAACAATTAAAACAAAAAAAAATAAGAAGAAGAATAAAACATTTATTTAAATTAATACCAGTTTTGCATTTTATTATTTAAAATTAATAAATAATTATTATTACTTTTTTCCTTTTCTTTTTTTCCCACTGGACTAACTACTGATGACCACATTACAAACTTTGTACTTGTATCAGGCAAGTTACATAATTGAAATGGAAGTCAAAGTTCACCTACTTTCAATTTGGCTCAGGAACACGCTAAACAAAAAGAAATAAAAATAATAAAATTAATTAATTAATTAAATAAAATCATACTTGTCCATCTTTTCGCTGGTCTGACGCCAATGGGTCATGTCTTTTCTCCAGCGCAGGTTTTCTTGGCTGCCAAAAGCACTGCCTGATGGACTTCTCTCTGGAGGACAAAAGAAGAGAAAGGGCAACACACATCAAGTTATGTCAACCAAGTTATGTCCAACAGAATATTGTTCATATAAATATAATTTATGTATGTATGTGTATATATATATATATATATATATATATATATTTTTTTGAGGCATGGAAATGGGGCAGGCAAATGCCTGGGGCCCCGCATTTTAAGGGGGCCCCCGATGGCCGACCACAACAGGAATGTTAATATTAATAGCTATAACACGCAGCGACATCTCTCTGTCCTAGAGCCCTGCACGGGTCTCAAATTTAGGCCCTAGCCCGGCCCGTGTCCAACAGCTCATCAGAATTCTTGGCCCGAGTCCGACCCAGTCTTTTTTTCCCCCTTCTCCCAAAACAGCTTATACTACTGTTTCAGCTATTAGTTCAGTTTTGTATGTAATGTCAAAGTGATTATAGTTCATTTCGTTTTTTTATTAAGTTAATTTAGAAAAACGTTTGGAGCATTTTTTTCGTTCATTAAATGTAAGTTTTTGTTTTTTAAAGTAACGACTAATCGGCCAGCGGCAGACATTGAGCTGATAGCCTATGTTTGATCAATTTAGCCTTCTCAAATCATCACGACATGCCTAAAATAAAATAAAAAAATATATAAAACAGTTCAAGCATACCACAATGTTAGTTTAAATGTTTAACCTATATAAATGTGCGCTATTAGACGCATATCTAATCGTTTGTGCAGAGAGCTAAAGCACGCTTTACAGGACATTGAGCCACCGGCGCGATAACTTGCATTGGAAACAACTTAAAAATATGCTGTCATTTTTGCTCATAAAGGTAAGAGTAATACATCATTCGGAACTGTAAAGGGTCTACTTTTATTTGTGTGCACTCACAATATCAACAAAATGTTGTGCTTTTATAAAATAAAGGATACATACAGGATGCGATTTCTGCAATTTAGGCCAGGAGTGCTTCACAATGATGAACCGAAACTCAGCGAATACTTGCCTCAAAGACTTGCTAAATATATCTATAGAAAGCTTTAAATTACTACTTTAAAACTAAATAAAACAAATCGAAAACAAAAACTCTTTCATTATAAAATCCGTAAAGATGCACTACTCAAAGGCACGTCTAATGAGGAGATGGCGAGTCAGGATCGCCATCTTCATCTTTGCGACACGGACTCAGAAAACACTAATTTATTAATAAATAATTAAAATATCTCCTTACTATTCACCCCACCCCCCTTTTCCCGAAGCATTGGGAACTTTTAGTAACTCCCCACGGTCCAACTTACTTCTCCCTGATGCTCTGCATGGTCAACTGTCACCTGTATGCTAATGCATGCGTATATGCATTGCGCATTTCTGCGATGTATAATATTTATAATATAATCATTATAACAATATTTCATACAGTAGCCTACAGCCGGGTTTCCATCCAAAGTTGCAAATTTAACAAGCATCGCTTCCATCCAACAAGTCAAAGAGAACTAAATTGTCACTTCCTGATAAACTGGCACTATAAATCTCTAAGAAAAGTAGGAGAATATAATAATTTTCATATATAATAAATTACTTGCGCCTCAGAGCGAGCAGACGAAACACAATGAATGCGGTCATTGCTTTCGGAGGTGGATACTGCTGTTTGGGAACACAGTCGTGTAAGACATTTCTGGGAGGCAATTATACAGAAATATTTTGATGACAGACTTTGCTCGTGCATTTCCGAATGACCATAACAACATTTCAGATGCTGTGGAATGAGATCGGTCCACTGGTTAGTCAGGTTTTGCCGTCTCATATCGCAGCCACATGACTTTTTTGATGCACTTGGAGGAATTTATTCGCAAAATGCATTTCCATCTCCCATAATTCGCATCAACCCTTTTTCGCACAAGTCAAAAACCACCTCAAGCGAGCGTAAAAACTTTTTTGCGAATTAAGGGATTTTTATTCGAAATTTGGTGTTTCCATCCCTCGTTTCTCATGCGATACTTCAAAATGCACATTAAAATAGGGTGATGGAAACATAGCTTATGTGTGCTCGGCGCGTATATGGGCACAATAAAAGGAGAGAAGCTAAATGAGCCCGATTCCGACCCGAGCCCGATCTGTAAAAAAAAATAAATAATAATGGCCCGAACCTGGCCCGAATGAACTCAGCATGTCGGGCCCCGTCGAGCTTGCAGACCTCTAATTCACACACACACACACACACACACACACACACACACACACACACACAAACACAGCCACCAATCAGTCAGGACAACATACCTGTCGA